ATACAAAGGGACATTTTCATGGAAACAAGCAGGAGGAGAACATGTTCACATGAGGATGGATGCTTTTCAGTGAAATAAACACACTCAAAATGAAAAATAAAAAAACATGCTTTTATTTTTGTGTATTTTTTGGCAACAAAAGTTTGTCCTATGAGATTGTCTTGGTCTGTGTAACTCAATGGGTCTTGCAACATTGAAGTTAAGTCTACGTGCTTTGCATGCTAAAAAAATCTTTACCTGCCCAAATGTGGAGAGATGACATATGGTACATAAATGTTATTGATGCCACAGAGGAAGGCTGTTCCAATGATCATCAGTATAAACATAAATCTGAAAAACAGTACATCATGCATTTTCAGTCTCACAATAATAATTACATGTGAGATTTTTACATTACCTCATCATATCATCAATCATTTTGCCAATAGAGATCTGTAATGTCCCCAAAGATTCGTGGGCTGGCAGGATGTATGCCAGTCGAGTGAAGCTGAGCATGCTGGTGACTGCAAACAGTACCTCTGCGATCAGCTGCGGGTCCTCCTGGTGCCAGTCTTCCCGCACTGCAACATGTTTATATAGAAATATCAGATCAGGGCCATAAGGCAATATACTTACATCCATATGTCACTCATTCCACAGTATGACAGAAGTGGGTGGGAAAAGGGTCTGTATGTGAGCATTGGGTTGCACTAAACAGAAAAGCACTGAATCACAACAACATATAACATTCTCCCTAAATAGGAAGATCACGATTCAGTTTCATACCATCCATCCCAGCCATCAGGCAAAAAGCAAAAACTGACAGGTGAAGGGAATCAAACTGATTGTGTTATCTTTATGGCACCTGTTATATCAGATATAGTATAAATGGTTGAGAGTTTATGGTTTAATAAAAAGGTAAAGTGGATATGCACCGACTATTAGGTCAGAGTGTTTCCAAAAAAGGTACTAAAACCAACTCACCTGTTTGGGTGAAGTAGATGCACTCGTTCGATAGGCTTAGGTCATGACAGAGGAAGTAACCTTTGAGCATAATGACAACACGCAATGCAAATGAAGCCAGGTACATACTGAGCACCATCATGTCCAGGCAGTTCCACCAGTCCAGGAAGTAACTTCGCAGGCCTTCAATCCACACCTCTTTACACTCATACCAGAAAAATCCTGGAAGATGACAATCCAAATTTATAAAAACTAGCTGTGACTATGCAGAAACACTATAATGGTTATCGCAGTGGCAGAATTAACATACCCACCACCCACACCATGTGGAAAGAACTGTGCAAAATGTTTTGTTGCCTGGAGGCAAACTTGTCTCGGTACATTTCCATAGTTATAGACTCCCCCAGCAACGTGATGAGGAACCATAGATAGGACGCAGAGTGCAGCAGGAACTTGATGACGGGGATCTTGAGTATTTTCCCAACCTGTTTGAACAAATCATGCAACCGGTTATAAAACAAAACAAATTTACAAGCCATTTTTTTGTTTGTTTTTATCATACGCCTCATCTCTTTTTCCATTAGTGCCACCACTGAGTCTATCTACTGTATACCAAGATATTCTAGACTATTTGTATTTATGTAACATGTACAAAGTAATAATGCCACAATGTTTAATGGCAAGGCAGAATATGATTAATATGACATGAAGTCCAAAGACAATACAAGGACTATTAAAATCATTGGGTATCACTTTATAATTACTAAACCTTAATTAGTTTTATTAAAGAAATCATTAAGAATGATTCAGGTTTAGTAATTACTTATTTAAGGGGTTAGGGTTTTAATAAAGTAATTACTCAACCTGAATAATTCTCAATAAACAATTTGTTCATTATGAATTAACTATTTGTTCAAGCTTTATTAAAAGCTTCCTGACAATGCCATCCTAATCACTTAATAGTGATAAACATTTCGTGTATATGCAATATACAAGGAACTGGATGGATGGCACTGTCAGGCAACTTAAAAGCGTAGTTATTATAAAATGTTAATAAAAATGTTAACCTAATATATTGGCTTTGAAAAGTACCTTAGACTTTGGTGCAATCCAGTAAACGAGGCAGAGGAGGGGCATTGTGAGGAAGATCCCCACAGACACAAAGAGTTTCCAGGCGGTTCTGCTGCCTCTCCAGCCCGCCAGGTGCCCACACCAGATTGATGACAGCACCTGCTGACAGATTGGATGGGCCACAAACTGCACAGAAATAGGAAAGAATAAGTGAAGATCACCTTACCATCACACAACAGTGGAGAGAAAAAATGATGGAGAATGTTGTGTGAGGGGATGCTGGGAAATTTGAGTAGTGGGGAGAGGATTGTGGTCAAGCAATGGTATAATTTTGGTCTGTATATGTCTACAACTGTTTGAGCTTTTGTGTTTAAGTTGTTGCGTTGAGTCCTCCTGTTGATTTATCTAAAAAAAATAAACATTTAAATAAAAGAAGAATCAGTGAAGTTTTGGTTTCCAGCTTGACTATAGTTACCTGTTTCTGGTTGTAGTTGACAGCGAGTCGAAGGCGGGATAGATTGGGTATCCCCTCCTCAAAGGCCTGTTCATCGAGAGCGTCCGGGCTCTCATCCCCACAGCTGTTCAGGATTGTGGTCACCTCACTCTGGTTTCTACACATTCCCAGTAATTCTACAGCAAACTCCTGGCAAAGCTCCTCCAGGCTGAGGTACTGAGGCTAGACAAGACAGACCATCATCATCATCGCTTTTATAATACCACCCAAGTCACACACATTGTGTTATCTCTGGACAAGGGCCCTATTTAACCAAGCCTGCTTTTAAGTGCTGAGTGCTGGTGTGATGTGGAAGGAGTCCCATACATCAAAATGTGGAAGAGTATACTAGTAGTTTTTGTAGCCTATTTATTTGCCCCCAGCTGGGCTGAGTTCTTTGTGTTGAAACATTTGCCTTTTCATTTTTGTTTTGTTGAATGAAAAACATTTGAATAAAAAATAAAAATAATCTCAACTCATGTGTTAATAATGCAAGTGGATACTAGACAAACCTTGAACTCCGGTTCTTTCTGGGAGAGCATACGCAGTTCTTTGCTCAGGCTGAAGGCGCTCAGCATGGCGTCGTCTGAGGTGATGGACAGGTAGGCCCGGCTGGCGATCCCGCGGTAAGTGTTGATCCGGGAAAGAGAGAATTTGAGCAGGTCGTATTGGCGCCCGTTCCGACACTCCAGACATGCGCAGGAGATTTTGTGAGGCCAGGGGATGCCGTGGCCCTTCTGTGTCAGCATGGTAACTATGTCATACAGGTCCTTCTGACAGGCCAAGGTCAGGGGGGTCACTCCGGGGGCAAACTGGGAGTTGTCAATGGACCGGTCAAATATGGCTTGGGAGAATGAGCGCACGTCCATTTTGTTTCCCTTCTCCTGGTCCAGGCGGTCCAAGAGGCGCTTCACTACTCTGGGCTGGTTGGTGTCCACAGCCACAAGCAGCGCCTCGTGAATTTGCCTAAAGTCAAACTTGACCCCCTGTAGGAGCGCGTCCATTGCGTCCTCGTTGCCCAGGCGGATGGACAAGTTGAGGGCCTCTCTCCAGAGGCGGTCCTCAGACTCGTCCAGCTGCCGGATGATCCCGTCCCCGGTTTTCAGGAGGCCGCTCACCAGTTCGATCTTCCCCTCCTGGATCGCACTGAGCAGCTCCGGTGGGAAGCGCATCTTCTTGTTCATGATCTCTCGCCATTGCTCTGGCTACAACAACAATAGATAAATCATTAAGATAGAATAAAATAAACTGTATTCTACTCTTGCAACGCAAAGTTGATTATAATAAAAAATGAAAAATAAAGACAATAACATTTAAATGGTCTAGGCCTACTTAAATCTAACAATTTAACTGTGACAGGTCTATGCACTGTAGGTCAATAATATTTAAAGGAAATGTAGCTTGAAGGAAATACAGAATACAGTTGACCAGAAAAAAGCTTCTAAACATAATATGGGATAAATTAAATGAACTTACTGTGAGATCCTCCATTCCTTCAAATGATAATTATTTTTACTTCTGCAGAAATATCCAAATCATTTTGAGAAAAGGTGAAAAAACAAACGCATCTTTTATATGGAGCTGCTTTAATGTGATGGAGATGCACACTCCTTCACTGAGAGAACAAGTGGTCTCTGCTGTCCTGTGATCATGTGCGAGCGGCTGACTACATGCTTTCTCAACACATAAACTCAATAACACATCTGATTCCCCTTGGGCCACAGCCAATTAAAACATACCCAGTTCAAAGTGTCATGCTTGGCTGAGACCATACCACACTGTTGCTTCATTCAGTAGGAACTATGTGCCTCCTCCCCACTGGAAACAGTGGCATGGGATAATTAAGGAGGCTGTTACTGAAAAGGCAGCAGCTGTCCTCTGCTCCCACAGGACAGAACAGTTAACGGCAAGGGAAAAACATGGAGCTGCAGGCAACACATACCCGCCCTGCTCAACTTCCACCAATAAATATAAATTTATTATAATAGGACTATTTTATCATTCATATGAATAACTTAATTCAAACAAACCATCAAACAAGATTATTATTATTTTTTTAACATTTAAATAAAGTTGTAAATAACTTTCGTTTATATTTTAGATTAAGTAGATTTTTTTTTAAATTTTTTTTTATGTTTTCACTGAAGACGTTTGGTGAGACATTGTACATGTATGTATTGGGCATGAAACTGACTGAATATAAATGCATAATGGGAATAATAGGCAGATATGTTATATATGATACATTTCTATAGTTCAAAAAGAAAAACAATTATGTTATCATTTTAGCTTTATCTACATAGCATAACAAAATAAAATTAGAATAATTCAAAGAATGGAATGTCATTTTAACTTAAACTCTAAGGCCTTCAAATATCATCAGTAAAACAATTAACTATATTATAATTATCATAAACAAATATGCTGCAAGATTCTATGAGGTTCATTAAAAGCATTCTAACCTGAAAAAACAAAGCCACAACTTTTTTCAATCAGCAATATAGACGAATTTTATATTAAATCCAACTTTTGACAAAACAATCAGGAAATAATGCATAAAAAACTGTGATAGGTAGGAAGAGTGGTCTAGTGGAATTGTGTTTCATATGGCACAAAAATGTACTTGTTTACAAAACAAGACATAAAATACTGTCTAAGTAGTGATCTTTTTTGTAAAATAACATAACAGCCCCAATTCAAAAATGCTACATTTAAAAGCTACTCAAAAGTACAATATACACATATTAAAAACAAAATAAATGTTCCATTATTTAGCACTGCATCTGAAGATGTGTCCAGAGAAGTGTATACTGTTCTTTGTGACAGCTGTAGTATGAGTTCTTCTTGTTGTCAGTACTGTACACAAACTGTAAAGTCTTAACAGCCTCAAGCCATCAGCTGATGCGCATGTGAAGATTATGACATTAGGAAAACTATCATCCAAGTTATAATCAAACCTAGGTATTAAAGTGACCAATGAGAGTGCCATGGACTTGAACAGACTGTGTAATAGTTTTTTTTTTTTTTTTTTTTTACAGGCACTAACAGTTAAAAATAGATTTTAAGCCAACTATTTTATAGTGAATTGACACTTACAATTTTAGCATATAATTTAAAACATGATTTAAACATCTAAGAAAATTCAAAATGACTAAAGGACATGACAAGATTCTCAATTAATATTTCAACTTAGAATGTGTCATTTTAGTTTTTATAACACTCTTAAAAAGTATGATTACTTCTACATGCTTATGTAGATCACTTTAAAATTAACAGAAGATTTGACTCCTAAAATTAAACCAAATGTTTAGTTGTACAAGTTGTGTCAGACAGTGCAGGTTACATTAGCTCAGTTGTTAGTCCTTTTTTAATTCCGCATCCTCCTTCATCTTCTGCTCCTGCATTCGGCTTCGAGTGGAGCCTAAAGAAAATAGCGTAGATCAAGTAAACTGTGATCCTGTTTTATTTCAGTGTTATCTTTATTTTTACATTATTTCGTGAACATATTTACCACAGTTACATTTTTTGTTGATATTAGCAACAGATTGTTTAAATACATTACAATTTAAGACAATAAAATATACAATCTCAAGTTTTCGCCAAATAGAAAATGTATTTGGATACTACAACAACAACAACAACAACAAAAAACACTACACAAAAAGTATTACTGTAAAAAATAAAATAAAATAAAAATTTAA